TTTTTTTTTTGCTATTTTATCTGATCAGTGTTGCTAAGAGTTGAAGTGATAGGAAATTTCCCAAATATTTAATATGAAGAAATGTAAGTAGCTACTTAGGAATTATATCATAATTTATTTATACATAACAAAGAGAAAGAATATTTTATTAAGAAAAATATGTATTAAATCAAACTTCAAAAGCTATTCAGTGGCCTCAGGTCTTCATAGAATGCAGTCCTAATAAAAGCTTAACAGAAAACATAGAGGGGGCCTAAATATGTTGATGTTTCTAATGAAGTGAAAATGCTGTTTTTCCTTTCTTTAGAGAGTCGGTTTGCTTACTCTATCCTTTTTCATCACAGATGGGGTCATCAGACTTACAGGTGGAAAAGGCAGCCATGAGGGTCGCTTGGAGGTATATTTCAGGGGACAGTGGGGCACTGTCTGTGATGATGGCTGGACAGAACTGAATACATATGTGGTTTGCCGACAGCTGGGATTCAAGTAAGATCCATTCAGATGCCAAATTATGTTTTTAAAGTCTTTTTTGTAATCCGTACTTGTTATTTCTATAACACTAAAAACATGTGTTCTATCTATCTATCTATCTATCTATCTATCTATCTATCTATCTATCTATCTATCTATCTATCTACCTATCTGTCTGCCCATCCATTCATTCATCCATCTAGGTGGTTAGTGGTGATTCAGTGGTAGAATTCTCACCTCCATGCAAAAGACACAAGTTTAATTCTCTGTTAATGCACCCCAGGCACAGTGCTGCCTGTTTGTCAGTTGTGTGGATACTTGCATGTTATTAGAATGCTACAGGTTTCAGAGAAGCTTCTAGACTAAGATAGATTAGGAAGAAAGGCATGGTGATCTGCTTCCAAAATCAGCACTGGTAACTCTAGGACACAGGGGTCTGATCTGAAACCAATCATGGAGATGGTTTAGGACCAGACAGTGTTTCATTCCATTGTGCATGGAGTTGCCATGAGCATGGACCAACTTTATGGCTTCTAAAAACAACTTTCTATCTATCTATCTATCTATCTATCTATCTATCTATCTATCTATCTATCTGTCTGTCTGTCTATCTGTCTATCTATCTATCTGCTGTTTATCTCTTCTTTCCTTTCATCATCCCCTTTCTTGAATAATTGAAGGATTGAAGTAATGGATGACTTCTAGAGCCCTCTATATCTCTTTAAATACAATGGTATACTTTTTTAAAAAAACTTTTTATTATGAATTGAGTAAAGGTTTACAGACCAGATCATTACATGGTTGCAAATCCTCCATGTACCAACAGTGAACAGTGTTTACCTTGATTCACTTTAACTATTGCGTTTCTCCCTATGTCTCTGGATACCTTCACCTTTCCTCTGCTAAGCTTGTATATGCCTTGTATATGCCTGGCTTGTCACCCATGTTAATATGTGTTACCCTGTAGCCCATGAATAATTTCCACCCATGCCCCGCTGTAAGTAAGCATCATAGATTGTTTATATTTTTTTTAAAAGAAAACCTTTTTAAAACTTTTTACATTGGTGTCATACAATGTTTGTTCTTTTGTGATTGACTGATTTCACTCAGCATAATGTCCTCCAGGTTCAACCATGTTGTGTGGTGTTTTACAGATTCATCATTATTCTTCAACATTTTGTAGTATTCCATTATGTGAATGTGTCAAAGTTTGTTTGAATCAACACCTTCTTCTGTTAATGGGCATTTAGACTATCTCCATCTTTTTGATATGTCTCTTGTAGACAGCATATTGAAGCATCCCGTTTTTTTTATCCATTCTACTCTTATGTCTCTTGATTGGGACATTTAATTAATTTATATTCAGTATAATTATCAATAGGTATGCATTAATCATCGTCATTTTTCTATGTGTGTGTGTTTTATGGTGCTGCTGGATTCTTTGTTCCACATAATTTTCTATGCTGAGTTCATTTTGTTTGTGGGTTTTCATGTCACTTTCATTTCTGTTGTGTTAATGTTTACTAAATCTTTCTGATTTTCCTTTATTTTCTTTTTGATGGGCAGGTGTATTATTTTTCTTTGAGGTTATCCTATAATATGTTAAATTTCCCCCTGTTTAGAACAGTCTGTTTTATTTTGAAATCTACTTGACTTGCGTGCCACTTGGAAGTTCTGTATCTACACTATTCCCTCTTTTTGCTTTGTAGTTGACTTCATTACACAGTGATGTCTCTGGTTCTGTAATTTTAGTTTTGTAGGTTTGTTTTACTTTAAATATTTCTATATCTGGGTTGATTTCTGGGTGTTGTTGTCATGTATGGTGATCTCAAGTTGTTGTCTGCTCTTGTTGGTTCTCAGTCCAAAGAATACCTTATAATATTTTTTGTTAAGTTGGACTGGTTATTACAAATTCTTATAGTTTTTGTTTAACAGAAAATGTCCTAATTTTGCATTTGTATTTGAGGGACAGCTTTGCTGGTTATATGATTTTTTTAAATGCTTTATTGTGGATTATGTGATAGGGTTATATGATTCTTGACTGGCAATCTTTTTCTTTCAGAGTTTTATGTATGTCATCTCATTGACTTCTTGCCTGCATGGTTTCTGCTGAGAAATCAGAAATTAGCCTAATTGGTTCTCTTTTATTGGTAACTTTTTATTTTTCCTAAGCTGCTCTCAGGATTCTTTTTGTGTTTGGAAAGTTTGATTATGATATGTCTTGGTGATTTTCTTTTACAATCTATCCTGTTTGGGGTTTGTTCAGCTTTGTATATGCTTATCTTATCTTCTTGTCTTTCATAATGTTAGGGAAATTTTCTTCCAACAACTCTTCAACAATTTTCTCTCTGCTTGTCTCTTTCTGTTCTGGAATTCTGATCACCTGTAAGTTGTTTCTCTGCATGGTGTCCCACATAGTTGTTAGACTTTCTTTGGATTTTTTAAAATTCTATTTTCTGATTGTTATTCTAGCATGCTAGTTTTGTGAGATTTATCTTAAAACTCACTAATCAGGGCATCTTTTGCTTTGCATCTGCTCCTTTCAATGTACTGTCCATTTCTGAGATCTTAGTATTAATCTCCTGGATTTCAAATTGTAGGTTTTGTATTGTTTCGAACTTTACATTAATTTTGTCTGTTTGTTCTTGTAGTGCTTCCTGAATTCTTCTAGTTTTTGTTGTGTTCACCTTGCTTTCCTTGATCTTTTTATTGATCCTTTGATGGAACCTAATTCTTTTGATTACTTTTCATTTAGTTCCATTACCTTTCTTCCTTATAATCATTTCTGGTTCTGTGTCTTCTTCTTTTGTTTGCGCCGTTTTCTCTTTTTTCTTCATGTAAGTTAAAATTGTCTGTAGTCTCCAGGTTGTTGTATTTGTAAAATCAAACAGTTCAGTTATTGGACCCCGAGGGGAGAAATTTCTGTGAAGCTTGTGCAGTTCAAGGAGCTCATGAGGTGGTTGTGGTATGGATGTGACATTAGAGTTCCTGGCCCTAGATGGAGTTCCTATTGCCTGGTGTTATTCTATATTCAGGACACTCAATCCGCAAGTAGTTTGTGGAGGACCCTGATGGAGCTGGTTTCAGTGTCTATTTGGTCCTCAGGGAAGCTGAGGGCAGTGCGACTGGTTAAATGCTGGTCTGATGGCTTTATAGGTTTTAAAGGTCTGGAGCTGAGCCCACCTAAATGTAGGCAACAAAACAGCACATCAAAGTGGTGCAGCTGACCCCCACCTCACACTGGCATGGCTCCCAGCCACATGAATCTGAACTCCTAGAGAGCAAGGGTCTTCCCTGGAGTGGGAGAGAGTGGGAGCTGGCTACACTTCTAGTCACCAGGGGAGTGTGGGGGAAAAGAAATCCCACCTTTTCCATATCTCAAAAGACATTGATTTAAGACACACCCTACACTGCTACTATATAATTAACATAACCAAGAAAATTCATTCCCACCATTAGGATTTACAACACGCATTTTGGGGAGGCACACACAGTTGAGTTCATAACATTTCATCCTTTGACCCTCAAATTTAGAACATGTAATCTTTGTATGGAGTCCTGGTGTGGTGCTGAAGGAGAAGTACTGGACTCCTAAACTCAAGGTCTGAAGTTCAAACACACCAGCCACTCAGACGGAGAAAGATGAGGCTTTCAGCTCAGTAAAGATTTACAGCCTCAGAAGCCCTAAACAGGGTCTCTATGAGTTAGAATTGACTTAAGGATATTGATAGAATTTCTGTATTATGCTCTTTTCATGTTTATATTGCTTGCTGTTGTTAAGTGCCACTGAGTTGGTACCACCTCTTGTGACCTTATGCACAACAGAATAAACACTGCCCAGTCCTGCACCAACCTCACAATCGTTGCTATGTTTGAGCCCATTGCTGCTGCCACTGTGCCAATCCATCTCATTGGAGGTATTCCTCTTTTTCTCTGACTCTCTAGCAAACATTTATATTGCTACCTAGTATAACTTTTAATTATATACTGCTCATTCAATGTTCAGACCATAATTTACTTGATAGTTTGATTAGTTTAATTTTTCCTGTTATAAATAATGTTGTTATATGAAAATATAAGTGCACACTGGTTGTTGTTGTTAAGTGATGTCAAGTCACTTCTCATAGCGACCCTATACAGGGTTTTAGACTAGCAGCTGGTGGACTTGAACACCTGATCTTGTGGCTTGCAGTCCAGTGCGTATCCTACTATGCCACACTGAGAGTTCATAAATGCACATAATTGCCCCATATTTTGAATTTTCTTGGGTAGTGCAATTATTGCAATTGCCTCTGGGTAGATTTAAACTGCCAACCATTTAGTTTTGTCATTAAAGTGCCATCATGTTGGTTCTGACTCATAGAGACCCTGTATAGGGTTTCCAAGGAGCAACTGGTGGGTTTGAACTACCGACTTTGTGGTTAGTAGTCCAGTGCTTATCTGACAGTGCCACACTGAGATTCCAACAGTTTAATAATTAGTAGTACAGAAATAATAAAATCACACTGTGGAGGAAATGATTAACATAAAATTTATGAGGAAAAGTTAGATTTCATAAACTCTTGACTGGACTATAATGTAAAGATCTAGCTCAGTTTTCTCTAGTTTTAGATTTTACAGAGCAAAAAATACAAAATGTTTTGGAAGATCAAAGAAGATGCAGTGTAATTTGGTTAACGTTAAAAAAACGAAAATTCCAGTTCTTTTCTATTTCTACGGCATATAGGTTTTATAAAAGAGTCTTCACGGTGCAGTGGTTAAGTATTTCGATGTCAGTTGAAAGGTTGGTGGTTTGAACCCACCAGGTGTGAGAAGGATGCAGCAGTCTGCTTATGAAAAAATCTACAGTCTTGGAAACTATGGGCAGTTCTACTCTGTCCCATGCGGTAGCTGTGGGTCAGAATTGACTTGATGGCAATAGGTTATATATTATATGTGCACTTAGAGGTTACGAATCGGACTGTTAACCTCAAGGTTAACAGTTTGAAACTGCCAGCTGCTCCACAGGAGAAAGATGAGGCTTTCTGCTCCCGTAAAGATTTACGGCCTCGGAAACCCTGTACAGGGTTGCTATGAGTAGAAACCCACTCCACAGCATATAACCATCACCATCATGAGTTGGAATTAATGGCAGTGGGTTTGGTTTTGGTTTATGAAAAAGTACATTGTCATTCTCATTTTGATGAGCAGAAATCCAAATTTCATCCTACGTATAATACTTGAGGAATCACTTAAAACTAATACACAGTTTTCATTTTGGAAAAGAAAATAACTTCTTGATATTGTTGTTGCTGTTGTTAAGTGCTATCAAGTAGGTTCTGACTCATAGTGACCCAGTATGGTGTTTCCAAGGAGTGGTTGGTGGCTTTGAACTGCCAACTTTGCAGTTAGCAGTCCAGTGCTTATACTACAGTGCCATTCCAGGACTCAGTAGAAAAAGGCCTGAAAGAAGCTAATGAAACCAAATGAGCTCAGTTAGCTCATCAGAGGTAGACATAAGACAACTTCTCTTACTTTTGAGCTCACAGTGTTCTTTCAACAGCACCATATTGACTTCTGAGTTCTGGTGTGGTGCTGCAGGATAATGCACTGGACTGCAAATTTGGTTTGAACTGCATGGTTGTTGGTTCAAACCCACTAGCTACTCATTAAACCCTATACAGGCTTGCTATGAGTGTGAATCGATTTGATGGCACTTAACAACAACATGAACTCCTGGTGTGGCACTGCAGGATCAGCATTGGATTGTGAAACACAAGGTTGGCAGTTCAAACTCCTCAGAAACCCTATAAAGGGTTGTTCTGAGTTAGAATGGATTCTGCCTCAGAGCAATCTTATATAGGCTTACAAAGGAGCTCCTGCTGGGGCGCACCGACTCATAGCAACCGTGCGCACCGACTCATAGCAACCGTACGCAAAACAGAATGAAACAATGTCTGATCCTGGGCCAACCTCACTGCTGTTGCCACACTTCAGTCCATTGATGTTGTCACTTGGCCAATCCATCTCGTTGGCTGGCGGGGGGCGCCTTCCTCTTTTTCTCTGACCCTCCATCTTTGCAAACATGATCTCCTTCTACAGCGACTGTTCCCTCCTGACAATATGTCCAAAGTATGAGAGACGAAGTTTGGCCATCTTGGCCTCTAAGGAGCACTCT